GGGCCTGCTGGGCCGCGGGACCGGGCCTTGCCCTGCTCCCGGGGCCCGCCCGGCCCCGCCGCTGCCGGCGGTAACAATGGGGGCCGCGCCGCGCCCGCCGCGCTCTCGGGGCTCCGACGCCGGGCGGCCGTCCTTCGGCGGCGCTCCGGGGGTCGTTACCGAGCTCGGCCTCTGCGTGCGGGACAGGCCCCACCGCGGATCCCCGGGCGATGCCGGGGTCCCGGAGCGGTCCCGGCGGGGTACCGTGCGCGGCGCCGGTCTCCCCGCCGGGGCGGGCTCTGCCTGCGCGCTCCCGGGCGGCAGCACCGACCCGGCGCTGCGTGTCGGTACCGACCCGGGGGCTCTAATGGCGTTTCCGGGGGCATCCCCCCAAAATCTTGTGGGAGTGGCCGGGTTCGCAGCCGCAGTGTGTTGGCTCCGGAGGAAAACTCTGATAAACGCTGATAAACCAGCCCCCGTGTCGGGCTCCTCCGGGTGCCCCTTCATCCCAGGGAAGATCTTTCCAAACGCTTTCCCCCTCTGGGGTCTTTTCCTTTGGAGCTTTGGAGCCTTTTGCACGCATTAATTAAGGTTTACCAGAGGGGGATGGAAATACCAATTTTGTGTGTTAACAGATAAGGGAAACTGAGGCTGGGATGTGCCGGGACTCGCCCAGCATCAGCCGGCAGGTCTGACACAGCCGGGGATAGCGGATGTGACCGACAGATCCTTGTTCTAAAACTGTAACTTACCTGAAATTTCCTAATAAAATGAACAGTTCGTTACGTTTCTGTATCACCTCTTTTTCTGGAGAACTCCGCGCTTCATGTTTCGTGTAGCCAAGAACTCTCTCTCCTCTCTGGCCGTGGAAGGCGAGTCGCGGTGTAGTCTGGAAAGGAAAAGGGGTAATGGCAAAGCGCCTCACGTTTACTTGCAGCCTCTTTGAAGAAAAGGTGTTGTGACTGTAGCTGTGAAGCTTCTCAATTTTCCCTTGTCTTGAGACATAAGCGCTGGCCCGGTTTAATGCTGCTTCTCTGGTGTGGATCAGCCATGATTTGCCTTGGCTGGAGTGGCCCTTTCATATTACATCCCTCTTGGTAAATATCTTTAGGTTTACTCTTTTTTTCTTTGTTGTTTTGTGTTTTTGTTTTTTTTTAA